AATTTTATATGTACTTATATAATAAATTATTCCATAAAAAGATTCTACAGAACCTGTTCTATAAAAATTCCACATACACATACATGATCTCATTATTGGTTTAGTTTTCACTACAGAGTAGTGTAATTTTTTATTTATTTTATTAAATTAAATAACGATATTTTTAATGAATTTTCTACACTTGATAAAATTGAAAACTTTAAAGTGCTTTATGGAAAAAAAACCATTTTAAAAAATCTACTCTCTAAATATGAATATGTGAAATTTCACTTATTTAAAGTGAATATTCACTTATCCCATGTTTCAAAACTCTTCCACGTAGAATAAGTGAATATTCACACAAAAAATAAGTGAATAAACTTCACTTATTTCTAAGTTCATATACACTTATAAATAAGTGGATATACACTTATAAATAAGTAAATATTCCCGTGCAGAAAAATTAAAAATAGATTAAAAAATTCGATTATTGGCAATCTTTTTGGAACTCAGTAAAAGACAAAAACATATCTTTGACGTTTCGAGATCGGTACCGACCTCCTCATCAGAATTTATTAGTCAATTGATTCTGATCATAACTTAAATATTAAATCCCTAGTCAGACTAATAATATATTTAATATTTAAGTTATGATCAGAATCAATTGACTAATAAATTCTAATGAGGAGGTCGGTACCGATCTCGAAACGTCAAAGATATGTTTTTGTCTTTTACTGAGTTCCAAAAAGATTGCCAATAATCGAATTTTTTAATTATATATTAATTGGAACATCTGAAATATTTATTAAAAATAGATAATAATTATTATATAAATATACGCCCTAATAATACAAGATATCTTGGGATATATTGATAATATCCCGCAGATATCCTAGGGATGTCCTATGGATATCAAAAGGATCTCTTAAGGATATCCAAAAAATCGGCGGTTTGGATATCCTTTGGATATTCCATGAATATCATCAGGATATCCCATAGATATTGTCAGGATATACCACAGATATTTTCAGGATATTCTCAGTATATCTTCTGAATGTCAAGAAGATATGCTCAGGATACTGTTTTTAAAGTCATTATGAGACTACGAGTGAGAATATTCTGTGAATTAAATTTTATATAAATAAAATAAAATGCAACTTGTTTTTCGAGAAAGTTGTTTAATTTGAAAAATTATTAACTAATTTTTTTCTCATTCGTGATTCATTCCTTTATTCATATGCTTAATATTGTCAGAAAATAAATTGGCTTTAAACAATATAAATTCTTCCCCGCAAATAACGAATAACTATTAATATTAATTATACATTAAGTGCATGAGTTTATTTAAAAACTTTGAAAAATGCGTTTCAAATCTTCATTTAAAATAAATTGGAAGCTCATAAGATTTTTGTTTTTATTATATTATTATTCATTATATTAGCTTAACAATTTTAACCTTTAAAAATATATGTTGAGATATTAAATATCCCGTGAATATTCTAAGATATCCCACGGACATCCTGAGGATATCCATGGGATATCATGCGATATAATATCCAATAGATATTTTTTGGATGTCTTAGGGATATCCTGTGGATATCATATGGATGTCCTGTTGATGTCCAACAGACCGGCGGTTTGGATATCCTAGGGATATCCTATGGATATCCCAAGATATCCTGGGGACCATTCTAGGATATCGATCATTGATATGGATATCCTATGGATATCCTTTTGTTATGAGGGAAAGCTTTATTATATTTTGTTCTTATATAACGTAAATAATGTGGAGTAAAAAAAAATTATTTTCCACAAATTTACGGAATTATCTTCCCATGCAGACTGGACAGACCTCTGAGATTTGAACCCTATTGAGCCTTCTACCGTTTGGGAGCTGCGCCTAGACGCGCTCGACCAAGGGAGGCTATGAAAATCTGTTACAAAGTGTCAGTCATAAGGAACATCAAATAAATATTTTTTGAACCAAATAGTTTTTCTTTGAACCAATAATTTTGGAATTTAAACAAAGATCATTTAATTGACTTAAGTAATATTTATTTAATGCAAATAAATATTTATTTCATCATTGTCAATTAACCTATTATTTAAATTTAGAAAAAATTGTCTAGCTAAGTTTCTGAAATTATAAGAACAAAAAATTTTTTTTATTAAGGTTAATTAAAGTTTTTAACAGACTTAAATAAAACATTTTTTTCAATTAAATATTTCACTTAGGCGTAAGTGGATTTCACTTATTGATAAGTGAAAACAAGTTCACATATGAAAAAGTGAATATTTCACATATATAAGTTGATTCCACTTATTAATAAGTGAAAAAAAGTAAAATTTCACATATTCAGATTTAGAGAGTTAGTTTTTAATTTTTTCTTTAAAACTCAAAATGTCGGATCCAATATGGAGGAAATTTTTTTAAAAATGCACTGAGAGACCTTTTGCACCGTAACAGACTTTCGACAGACGGCTGCGGAGCATTCTAGCGGTCAGCTATGAAACTACGTTTTTGGTCTGCAGCCGTACAATTTTTGGAGCGTAGCTGTCCAAAAAATTGACGGCCAAAAGGATCATTTTCATTTTTGGGCAGTCACGATACAAAATTTAGAATGCAGCGCACCAAAAAAAAACCAAAACCTCTCAGTGTGGAAGTTTTGTTTGAAACTTGTTACTCGGAGGTTCTTGGGGTTGTTCATTCCGAATATGACGTCAGAATTGCAAAATTAAAAATGGCATATCCAACATGGCGGACTATAAATTTTAAAAGTAAAGCTAAGGATGCCTTAATCACTACCCAGGGTAGTGATTTCTGTATTTATTTTTTAATCATAACAAATTTTCTTATTATGCAATGTATCTTTCCGCCAAAATTATTTTTTAAAAATAGTTCCATGTTTTTTTCGACTTGAGTGATGAGTATGAATGAAGTGTTTGAGTGATGTTACCCGTTAATACAATCACAAAATGTCATTCTACCAATTACCACTTCCTAATGTCACGTGGTGGCGGTCGAGATACAGATTACGACGCTCCGCGTCACAATTCACAAAATACGCAACGCTCTTAATATTGTTCTATTTTTTTCAAATCATAAATTAAAGATCTAATATTTTCCAGAAAACTTCCTTACATATTAATGAATATTTTTGTCACTGGAAGTTTTTTGAATTCGAAAATTCCTCACTCAACTTTTTCAATTGAATGTAAGAGAATCAGTTTTTGAAAAAAATTATTTAAACAATTAAATATTCAGACATAAAATTTTATGAAAATTTTTCAAATGTGCTTTCACTTTTAGAATAGTTTGAAGAATATTGTGTTAAAATTTCGTGAAAAAATATTCTTATTTATCGAAATAATCGCGAGTTGAACACAAAAAAGCGTTAAAATTATCGATTTTTAAAAATGACGTTTTTTGTAAATAAATAAAAAACGGTAAGTTATAAAAAAATATTCATTTTCGAAAAAGAAGCGTAATAAAATTCTCTACAAGAAACAATAATTGTAATTTAATTTTGAAAAATTTTACCCCCAGGGGCCAACGTTTTTCATAAGAATTCACGCGTGTGCCCTTTTAAGATCCGGAGCCTCAAATAATAGTGTTATAGTAAAATGATGTTAAAAAAGTTTTTTTCATCTGATCATTTTAAAAAATCATTTATTTAATTTTTTCTTAGCTTTCGCTCCACAACGCGGAGCCTGTTCAGAGTTAAATCTGAAAATGTATACAAAATATAGATATCACACTTCCATACATCATCATAAGAAGTTAGCCTCAAAACTCACCAATCACGTGTCGAGATTTTCTTATTTTTAATATATAATTACAAGTCATAACATACTTTAAAATTTTAAAAATATAAAATTAAAAACGTTGACTATATATTCTAATAAATTACATAATTAACAATAAGGGGAGGAAAAACCTTCCCCGTTTTTTAAAGTCACATGTTTATTTGATAAGATAACGCAAACTAAGATTACGATTTTTTGAAGGTTATATACTGTCGATATAGTAGATCGCTTTCTCTCCATGAGGCGGATAATTCAAAATTAAAAATTAATTTTATTAGTGTTTAAAATTAAAGTCCTGTAAATATCATTAAGAGCATTTGTGTCTGTTCTTAAGTTAACTGAATTATTATTTTTAACTATTTGAAACATTTCTTTAAAAATTCTTCGAAAGTAATATCTTTCTGTTCCCAAAATTTTAACGTCTTTAAAATTAAATAAGTGGTCCATCTCATGGGAGTGTTTTACAAGGGCTGATTTTCTTTCATTTAGTTAACTTAAGAATTCTCATTCTTTATTGTATCAATAAAAATGTCCATAAAGCAAAAGTAATAAAATAGAAATTTAATAATAATAGCAAAAAATGTAATTTTTAAATGGTATGTCAATTTATTGTTGATTAGAAATAATTAAAAATTTACAAAAAAATCATAACAAAAAAACATGTAAAACTTATTAGTAACAAACTTTGGCAAAGTTTATGTAAAAACGATTCCAAAAAACATTAATTTCATTTCCGAAGTCCAGATTACAAGTAATATATTTGAAAAAATCTAATCAAAGATTTTGCAATAATGTTCTTAATGAAAATTGTCTTTCAAGTACCGAAAAAAATTTCTTTCGATACGACACGTGTCAAAGAGATTGATGAAACGGTTTAGATACTTGATGACATTATGAGGTCTTAAAATGTTGTTTCATGGATGCTGATAATTTCTGCAGATAAATTAAAAGAAGGAAATATATGGCATTTGTGGTTCGGTCAAGGAACTTGGACTTACCATCAAGGTTGGTCTAAAGTTGAATAAGAAGGAAGAGAAAAGTACAAACTCCATGAGCATGGGTCCTCTAGGATCTCTCTCTCTCTCTCTCTCTCTCTCTCTCTCTCTCTCTCTCTCTCTCTCTCACTCACTCTCTCTAATGTTGGGGGGTCCAGTTATCGGCGATATCCAGCGCTCTGGACCCCACTCGCATACTCAATACTTAAACTCAGAGTCACCAGTCCCTCTGACTATTCGCGCAGCATCGTTCGGTGGACACGTGACTGTAAGGCCTAGATCACGCGTGTGCGCGAACGTCACTTCCTTCACAGTGTCTTCCGCGATTTTCAATTTTTTCCAGTGATTCAAACATTTCTCCTAACAATAAAATAAAAAATTGAAATTTTCGCAGCCGTCAAATTAAACGTCTGACGGACCGAATGTTTTCATCAATCCACTCAAATCCGCACGAGGATAAGAATCATCAGGGTTTTTCTGAACTAGTGCCGTCCTGACCCGAAAGAATTTCCTCAATTTCATGTGTTTTTGTTAAAGACAAGTTTGGATTAATTTGAAAATAAAATCGAATTTTCTTCAATTTTTGTTTTTTATTTTTGGTTTTTTAGTGACTTTTAAATGTGAAATCAGGGTGCAATCATTCTTGACATTGATTCTTCAAAAGGTTTAAAGAATCCAGAGAGACCGCGAGTAAACTTGTGAATTGAGGTGACTACTTTTTCATCAGGGCTAATTAGCGTCATTCAATAAAAGGTAAGTTGGTGCGATTGTTATACTCTGGTGAAATGAGAATATCGAAACTTGATGCCGAAGGAACCTGTTTGTTTACGATTCGTTAGTGTAATTCAATTCGCTCTATTGGAAATGGATAAGCAACTCATCTAGAAGTTATAGTCAAATTTGAAGAGAAAGAACTAATAGTGTGCTTTTTTATACCAAAGTCTTCAAAGAATTCAAATTTCTCTGTTTTGGTAATTTTAAACTTTCTTTTTCCTTTGAAAAATAGTCGTTCTTTTTTCAAAAGTTATTGTTTTAAACAAGACAATAATAATAGAGCTTCATGTAATATTTAAAATGGAAAAAAATAATTTCAAACAATAAGAAGATTTTTTAACAATAGGCACTCGAAAATTTTAATTATTGTATAAGGATTTATTTGATTTTTCTTCATATACTGTGAAGAATTCTTCTTGCAAATTTTTCCTAAATATTCTATAAACTCTTCAACACTATCTCTTCAATATTGACTATTTAAAAATTTAGAAATATTACCAAGCAATAGAAAATCATTTTTCAATTTAATAGCAATTCACAGATAAAACTTGAACTTAAAATAAGTTTAATCAGACTCAATTTGAAGTGCAACAAAAATGAGTCAACGACATAGAACGTAGCGCCATCTTACTGACTCATTTTTATTGCACTTAATAAATTGAGTCTGAATTCAAATCATTTTAAGTTCAGGTTTTTTCTGTGTTGTTAACAAATATAAATACTTGAGTTATAAAAAGAAAAATTAATTTGTTCTTTTTAATACGTCTTTAATTACACAATAATATTAATTGAATTTTCCTTGGTTTTTTCACTTAGGAATTGGATGTGTTTCTTCACATGTATAAAAATCCAACTGTGAAATAATTTTCTAACTATATTTTCTTTAAACGTTCAAAACCCTCTTCACTTGTACAAACTTATCGTATAATTGTATTTTTTCTACGTATAGTAACTCTCGCTAATTGTTTTATTCAGATGAAAATTAACTTTACTTTCAAATTCACTTTTAATGTGTATTTTCCAACAAATTTATTTAACTTTTAATGAAAACGTTCAATTTTCAAGGTTTTTGCAAAACAAGATATTGGTAATGCATAAGGATTCCTTTCTTTCTAATCAAAATATGCACATTTATAAAATGGATATTTCAAACATCTTTTTCATCCGAATTCATAAGTTAATTTTAAAGTCCAAAAAAATCTCTTTTTAATTACGCTCTTTATTTTTCTTACAACTGAAATTTCATCGTTATATTCAGAGGATTAAAATAATGCTGAATTCAGGAATTATTTAAATATTCTCCTTGGGAATACTAGATAACATTGAACCTTGTCCTTCAATAATATTCCAACTACGTTTCAATATAATTATACAGGCAATAAAGAAAACAAAATTAAGTTGAAGAAAGTGATCACTTTCCCTGTATTGAAAGAAACATGCATGGCCTACATTGAGAAAAGATTATGATAGGCTCCAAGTTCAATGAAAGTTCTCCAACAACCCTTGTGAAATTTTGAAAATTTCAAGTTTCTGAAGTCTCTTTTACTGTGCATTAAAATCGTTAAAACTTCTATTTAAAAAAAAAATTTTAACTTTGATTTTACAACCAATTATATTAATTTCATTAAACAATTCATCAACGTTTACTGAATATTCATTTTATGCAAATTTTTTTAAATTATTAAGACTGTAAAAATGAAAATATAGTATTTCCTTTGGAAAAGAAATCTTTTAGGTAAAGAATCTCTTAATCACATTGCTGCTTAAATTATTTTAAAATTATTAATTATTATTTTTATTAGTATTGATAACCATTAATTGGTCGGTTACCTAAGTTCATTTTGTTCTATATTCATTTAAATGAAAATTATACTTGCTTATGTTTTTTAATGTTTAAATAACATAATAATTTTTCACAAAACAAGGCATTTAAATATTCTTTATGACATTAAAAAAAATTTACGTGAAAAATGATTTATATAATTATACAATAATAATTAAAAAATAAATAAAATAATAAACAAAGTAATATACCTATGATGTATTCCATGCCAAAGTGTAAATCCATCTGCAATTGCATCTCCGATTTTTTTGAGATTTTTTTTTCTTTTAGTACCAACTGAGACTAGCTTTCATGAATTTTTTCAAATTTTTTTAGCAAGCCGTTTTCGAGTTATGGAATTTTGAAAATTGAAGAATTTTCATGACTTTTAATTTTCTAATGCTCATAACTTCCTTAAAAAATGCATCAATTTTAAAAGTCTTTTTTTCAAAATATGTGTTTTTAAACATTCTTTTAAAAAAAAATCGATTTTTTTTTCTCATTTGACGTACTGATCGATTTTTTTCAAAATTTTTTCAAAAAACATATTTCTTTTTACGAAACTTTTAAGCCTAGCCCGATAATGGGCAAACGATTTTTACAATATTTTCAGAATTTTTCAAAAATATTTTTTGTTTTTTTTATAATACGTACTTTTATGTATTTTGATGCGCTGATTACGAAAATCATAGTGACAATATCCAAAAATTTGATTTTTATCGTGAAAACCATAAAAAAGTCCCAAAATTTATAGTTTTTTTTGTTTATTAGGTAAAATATGCAAAATTAAAAAAAAATGCATTTGTTATAAAAAATGTATTTTAATAAGATCTATGACTTTTATTTGAATATTTTTTTTAATTTTTCATATTTTACCTAATAAACGAAAGAAACCATAAATGTTGGGACTTTTTTATGGTTTTCACCATAAAAATCAAATTTTTGGATAGTGTCACTATGATTTTTGTAATCAGCGCATCAAAATACATAAAAGTACGTAGTATAAAAAAAAACAAAAAATATTTTTAAAAAATTCAAAATTCAAAAATTTTTGAAAAATTCTGAAAATATTGTAAAAATCGTTTGCCCATTATCGGGCTAGGCTTAAAAGTTTCGTAAAAAGAAATATGTTTTTTGAAAAAATTTTGAAAAAAATCGATCAGTACGTCAAATGAGAAAAAAAAATCGATTTTTTTTTAAAAGAATGTTTAAAAACACACATTTTGAAAAAAAAAAATTTTAAAATTGATGCATTTTTAAGAAAGTTATGAGCATTCAAATATTAAAAGTCATGAAAATTCTCCAATTTTCAAAATTCCATAACTCGAAAACGGCTTGCTAAAAAAATTTGAAAAAATTCATGAAAGCTAGTCTCAGTTGGTACTAAAAGAAAAAAAATCGGAGATGCAATTGCAGATGGACTTACCCTTTAGCGTGGAATACATCCTATACAAAAATATAAATTATTTTTAAAAAATCCTGTTTGGGAACAAAAAATTAATAATTTTGGAAAAATATATGTTTTAAACATTCTTAGAGATTTTCATAATTACATAAACCATTGTGTCGAGTCTTCGAACTTACATGACAAGTTCGAAATTCTAGTCCTTTTGCTCGATAGCAAGCTTCAGCTAGTTGGACTACTGGACGTTGCGTTTATTGCTCAACCCTCCACCGAAACGAGTAGCAATATTTGGCACAAGGTCGCTGGACCGTTTTCTTCAACATGTATTTCTTAACAATTTTAGAATGCTTGTGCTGACTTCGGTATTCACTAAATGAATTATTTAGACTCTACAGTCAACAGAAAGTAAACAACACTTTTTTTGAAGTCGATTTTCCAACTTCTGTACCTTACCTTTAGAAAACACAAGACTTCCCAACAAACAAACATTTTCAGTAATTCTTACAGCAATAACAAAAATAAAAAATCCAAGTAATAAATAAATAATGACATAGCAGAAAATAGTGGACAATAGAAGAAATTAAATAGAATAAATATAATAACATATAATAACATTAAATAGAAGAAAAGTAATCCAAATAATGTTATTTATATAACATTAAATAAACAAATATTTTTAAAGATACATTTCTTTAAATGTATCACATTTCAATTAAGAAGAAAATTGTAATTTTTATATTAGAAATTGTAAATACATAATGCCATTATAATAAGTCAGGAAAAATCAAAATTTTATAGAAATATTAGTTTCGAATTAATATTTTAAAGTTATTTAACTAATTCAAAGTTGTTCAGAGAAATCGAAAGTAATTCAAATGGATCTGAGAAAGTCTTATGCTATTAATAAATATTTGATAAAATTAATCTAGATTTGTAAAGATTTTAAATGTCGAAAAAACAGCTGTAGTTCAGTCGAAAGTAATTTCGGTAAATTACTTGCGAATTTTCAACAACAAATTATCTATAAAATGTTAGCTTTACTAAAAGAGAAGAAAATGTTTCAATAAGTACTTAATGTTTAAAACATTCATAAATTAACAAAATTATATTTGACGTTTATTTTAATCAAAATTTACTCTATAGGGGAGACCGTGGCTGAAAGTGCCGATTTTGAGAAAACTAAATAAAATGCTAGTAAAATGAGAACTTTTTGTTTTAATCTATAGTCTATCTATTTTAAAATTTAATGTAGTTTTTAAATCCATTATTATTTTTTGATAATTTTGAACAGTTTTTTTGTAAAAAATGATTTTGTGCAGCAAGGCAACACGGAACGTTGAATTCCGCGATGGGGAGAGTTGTGCCGATAAGATTTTTTAGTTGTTTCAGTTGAATCAAATGATTTTACGCGTAAGAAATAAAATAATTATTCCCAATATATGATTTACTATTATATATTAATCATTTGTTATAAACTTTTAAAGGTTTTTAGGAAAAATCTGAAGATTTATAGATTTTAGTAAGTGAAAATAAACATTTTCTGACTTATATTCTATAATTGCATAGTTAGTCAGTCACTTACAATATAGTTTTCGTAATAAGTATTTTTATTATAAACATTTAAAGGATTTTTCCAACAATCGTAACATTTATATATTTTTGTAAATAAATAAACATTTCTGACTTAAATTTTACAATTACATAATTAGTCAGTCTTTTAAAATATTTTTTGAAATAATTATTTGTATCGTTAATTAATTGTAAAAACTCTACTTTCTAATTAATAAATAATTTTTAAGGCAGGAATACTTATTCGGAATACGATTTATTGAAATCACAATTGACACACATATAACTCACCCTTTTTTTACCCTTTACACATTTTTAATGTGCCCAGTTTTTGTAAACGATGCATTGAATCCACTTTTCTCTTGATTTCGGGTTGGAATAACTATTCGAACAAACGAGGCAATATTATATTATGGTTATGTAGCGATTGACAGCGGCACAACTAGCCCCAAGCGAAAAGCACAATTAACCTCGTTGCGCCGACGCTCACTTTTTATCAAATATTAAAAAACTAGATAAATTAAATGTTAGGTTTCATACACTATTAAATCCGTCGATAAATTTGGATCATTTAAAAAAAATACGTATCGATATCTTTAAAAATGCAAAAAATAGACCAAAAAGTATAACATGAAAACTTGCACGTAAGTCACTCCAAAGCACCAAATTACTGACAGCTAATTATTCCGCGAAGCAGACAAAATCAAAATAGTTGCCAAAGATGCGCATAAGTAAAATAATATTTCTCTCACTTCCACTTTTCAAAAAAAAAAATTTTGTTTTTGATACCTATCGGCACAACTTACCCCCGGCACTTTCAGTCCCGGTCTCCCCTATTATATTAAGCAGTTATCTTAACTAAATTTATTATTTTTCAAAATCCACCTGGAAAGATGCAATTTTACCAAATTTTGCAATTCAAAGTACTTTGAATATTAAGAAATAAAGATAAAATTTTAAATTATATTTTGTTCATTATTTAGGCTAATTATTTTTGATAATAATTAACATTTGCAATTGAATATGCTTAATATAATAATGCACGGAGAGAAATAGATGGTACGGGGTACTATCTAGATAGTACCAGGTACCATATTTGATCTTACATATACGGACAGTAATCTAGATTCTATCAGTTACTATCCAGATTGTACGAAGTAACATCTTGATTATAGTGGGTAACATAACTATACTTTTTGTAACATCTTTGATAGTACCGAGTAGCATAATGATAGTACCGGATAATATCTACTTTTTACCATCTTAAGATCATAAGTTCTTACCATCTATTTCTCTCCGTGTGGATATAAATATTAAATATGCAATATTTTCTTATAATACACTAATTCTAGTAAAAACTTTTGGAATGTTTCAAATTCGACATTTCATAAATTAAAAAAAATCATTAAAAATTTCATAAGTTATATTTTTTGTATACATAAATTTTGCCATTAAATTTAAAAGTTTGTTTTTAATCAGAGAAAAGTATTATTTAAAATAAATGTACCATTTTTACGCTTCCGTTCGATTGGAATTGATTATCATATAGCGTTTTCAAGGAAAAACTGATAATTTTCGATAAAAATCATGAATTTTTTTCCAAAAACTAAGAAAATTTTATCTAAAGGGCTTCAAATTTATTCATTTTTACATGCAGATTATAGGAAAAATTTAACAAACATGATAAAAAGTTGTTTAAATTGAGCTTTTTCGAAAAATAAAAATTTTTGAAAAAAGTCGGGGTACGAAACCGTCGGTTTCAATGCAAGTGTAACTCGTACTTGTCTGATTTTTTTTGTAATAACACAATTTTTTGTTTCTTTTAAACAAAATTTGTTTCAATTCAAATAAATATTAATTTGGTCTAAACAAATGTCTGGTTTATTTTAATAAATTTTTCTAACAAAGAAAAATCTTTCTACAGTGTATATGAAAAAATAATTTTGTTTTTGAAGTCTTATTGCAAACATCTTAGTTTGAATTTTATTAATAAATCGTTGGTTAGTGTTTAAGATGTTACACCACCTTGAACGCAAAAAAAAATTATATAACTTTTTCATGCTCTAATGGCATAAAATACATTTAAGTTTTTAAAAAATCAAAGAATATATTTAAGATTGTTATGTTTCAATTTTTCAAGTCAATCGGTCAAATATTTTTTGAGTTGGAAAAGCATGGTCGCACAAGAATCTTTGATTTTTTGAAAACTTAAATATATGTAATTTATGCCATTAGTGCATGAAGAAGTTACATCCTTAACAATTTTGTAAAAAAAATTCCCTTAGAACCGTAATAATTCCCAGTGGGCAAAAAATCATGTTCGTTCTAAAAACGTTTTAAGGACGTTCTTAGAACGTTTCATGTCCGCCAAATAATGTTCTGGAACATTTTTAGAACATGGATGTTCAAATAATGTTCCAGAACATTATTTGGTGGACATGAAACGTTCTAACAACGTTCTTAAAACGGTTTTAGAACGAACATGGTTTTTTGCCCACAGGGTTGTTTGCGTACAGGATGTAACTCCTTAATGAAAACATGGAATATTAATTTCTAAACTGTTTTGCTGCTTCTATATAAAAGAAAAAATTTATTTGAGACAGTACAATTTTTATTGATGACACCAATCAGTTTATAGAAATCGTTCCATCGGAATCAGAGAAAATGTCTTTTTTGAGTAAATTATTTTACTGTATTTCATACATATTATATGGTCTTTGATCACAAGATGTGAAAGTGATGAACGATTTTCGCTTTTGTGGCATTACGATCGCGTATACCTTATTTTCTAATTATTGCAATCCAAGAAAGAGTGGCCTAACCTCGAGGCAGCGCTGTCTGTTGAAAACTGGTTTGCAATAATGTTCCTACAAGTTCGGTGCATTGGCACACGACCTGTCTAAGACTGCGTGAAAATATATTGGTCGACTTCTCGCCAAAGAAACAAGTTTGCGTAATAAAATAATCGATTAAGAACGGGCCAAGAGTATTTGGATCAATCGTGTCAATTGGATCTCGTAGATAATGGACACTTTTCCTGTCTCTTTCGGCAATTCTGATCCACTCATGCGAGTACGATTTAACAACAAAGTACAATTTTTATTCAATTGTTTTTCTTTTCTCTTCTACTTCATGTGCTTCCTTCACTCTTTTTACATCCGTTTTATATTATCCATCTACACTTATATAAAATCACTTAATAGTAAATTTAATAATCAGTTATGGTACATTTCGAATAATGTGTTTATTTATATTGGCAAGACATCGCAGTTCTACCTTTTCAAAATTGAATTTTTACAAGAAATTATCATTCTGTAAAAGGCAATAAAAAGATGAAAATGAATCGAAATAAATAATGTTTTGCGTTTAATTTTAAAGATTTAAAAATCCTTGAATGCAAAAATATGTATTTTAATAATTTGCATACAGTATTGGCATCAGAAGTGACAATTTGTTTATGAAAGTAGTATATCAAGGCGAAACTCAAGTGTCCATATGTTTCTGAGGGCCATACTTAAATTACGTAACAGCTTATAGGGAGGGGAGGGGTTTTGGATATTCGTTATAATTTGTTACAGGGGGAGGGGGGTGTGTGTTTAATGGTAACTTAACGTACTTTTTTTAATTTGAAAAAATGAAACACAAAATATATATATATTTGCTTATAAACATTTTTGAATTTATACACCAATTTACAAGACTGAAGATTTTGTATAAGAAAAATAAAAAATCTATGTTAAAAATTTAAAAATAATTTAAACAGAAATAAAGGACTGGTTCTTAAAAGTGTTACATAATTTAAGAATGGCCCCTTGGTGAATTCGACTTATGTTGTCTTTTCAAGAAACATTAATTTACGAAATATCGTACTTTAAGGAAAAGGGGGAGAAGAGCGTATAGTAGATCCTACTCTTATGGCAGTAGAATCTACCAAACGAAGTGGTTAATTTTAGACTGACAAAACTGTCAGTTAAGTGTGCTATTCTGTTTAGTAAAATGTAAAGGAGACACGTTTGTTAAAAGAAAATTTACAGTCCGAAACAAAAGGCGCAATAAACCTTATTAGTTGTCCACATATCAATATTTTCAGTGCAAAGAAAGTGAAAAAAAATTTTCCGAATGAGTTCATGATTAGCACACACATTTTACGATATTTAGAAAGTGATTACATTAATCTGTCAAGAAAGTGAAAATGCAAAATACCACTCAAATTTATTTGGATGCGATGTCTTTTACATCTTACTGGATAATTAATTATTTAATGTATATATTTCTGAGTTCTATATTTTAAAAAAGTATCATTGATCGCGATAATTTAACATCATTTCGTGGATATAATACGAGAATAAAACTTTTAGTTTATTTTAAACTCACCGATGTCGAAATACTCAGGTGAAGATTTTCTGGTGAATGCAGCATTCTATCTTTCTGTAAAAAATGTTTCAAAATTTTAATATATTTAATAATTTAAAGAGTATATAAAGTTTGCCTTTTAAATATATACATTATCACTGAGATTTCAGATAATTAAACTTTAAAACATGTATTACATTATTTAAAAGTTTATTTCTTTCTTTGGGGTCATCCACAAATCCACTACTAACTTTTAGTGCTTGCGGCTGATAAAATTGAAATAATGATAATTTGTATATTGCTTTAAAAAGGTATTTGTTCTACATATTCTTATTGAACAACAAGAATTACGGCAGAATGTCTGCAAACGTTTTACAGTCATTAATAGACTGAAAGTCTGCGGAAAGTTTGCAGGCTTCCTGCAGAATGTGATAATTATTAACATTTATTAATAGTAATTATGCTGATACATCAGTAAGCTATCATAAAGGTTACAGTAAAGTTTCACTTTAGCCACATCGAAATATGTCAAAAAAAGCAATCGAAAATTATTTCAATACTTTTTCCATAAGGATATGATACATGAAAAATATTTTTTTATTGAAAATTTAATTCAAGGACATCTTAAAATGAACAATTTGAGTTTCGAAATTATAATTTTCAGTGATTCAAAAAACGTCTTTAATGTTAAGAACAAACGTATTTCTCTAATGAAAAAAAAGTTTTCTTTAATTATACGAATTTTGTTTACTTGAAGCGTTAAAATTATTATAATGAGAAGTGAAAACATTTAAAGCCTATTGGGTCATGTCATTAGACTTGTTAAGACGGTCCTTATCCGAAAGTCAGAGGCCTTTCTTAAATACCGTTTCATTTTGATGATTCGAGATTCACGTATACGGAGGCAGCATCTAAAGTTTTCTTTCTCCATTGATCGCAGAGAGTTAAACGAGGACGCCAGAGTGCGAAGGCGCTAACGTGTCCCATTTGGCCCCGAGAGGAAGGCATTATGAAAGTAAAAAGATGCTTAAACAGAAGGTGTGTTCTCGGTGTAGTCGAAGAAGCATCCAAAGGAATTTCGGTCACTTTTCATCGATTGCTTTATACTCAGCCAGAACCTGTAATTCCTGTTTTTCTAATGTTTGAACTCTGCATTGGAACGGTTTCTAAATTTCATGCTCTTCCGATATACATGTACCGTTTTTCACAATCGAGTCATTCAACTCTTACTTCAATCATAATATAATTATCCAATTAGTCTGATTTTTTAAGTCATATTGAATTTCTCTTAATTTAACGAAAGCTTTTTTCAAAAATGTTTAAAAATAAATTTTCAGAACAATATGTCAAAAACTTTGTTACAAAAATATCTATAATAAAAATTAAATTGGGAAAGAAAAAAGTTATAAAAATAAATGATTTAAAGAGAATTGACAAATATTAAGAGTAGAAATTACAAGACGGTACAAAATTTAAGTAAAGTGAGTCAGCTTATCTGACAGTGATAAAAAAGCAACGGTTACTTCATGAATGGGTTTTCAATTGGAGGTTTTTTTCAATACTTTGACTGAAGAAAAAATTGAATGAAGAGGATACTAAGTCAAGTATCAGTTATAGTATAACGAGAAACGACAATAAGAGGCATGCTACACGCTCGGTTATCGAAAGTCGGGATTTGCTGTGCACCTTGCCAGTAAGTGGGTTAACAGCATCTGACGGTACTCGATAGAGATAGTACTCTCATCTACACACTATATGATCTCTAGGATAGGTGCAACAACGTGTGAACGTGTCCTAGAAAAATCTTAATATCGGCCAAAGTAGCACTTTCTTTGAACTTTAGAATTTCGAAAACAATTTTATGTATAAATGGAACTGTATACTCATTGAAATCAACATACAACATACTACTGTCTTTTTTTACTTGTTTCTTTGAAAAATTTGTTAACGAATAAAAAATTTGTTTTTGCAAATATGGCTGATTTAGTAGTTTTGTATATCATAAGGAACGTGTAAGAAATTGAAAAAAAATCTTAATTGTATTTTTAAAACAATATTAATTAAAAAGATTACTTCAGGTGGCACACTACTGCATGGTTTACCCTAAAATTTTATTAAAATAACATTATTATTAAATTATTAAACTGGTCCAAATGTCAAGTAGCCTAAAATGCTTACAACTGATCAGAAAACGGTTCATAGTTATTCAGTAGAGTCCAAACTAGTTTAAACTACTTAAAACTAGTTCAAAAGGGCTTAAACTCATTCAATAGAGTCCAAAGTAGTTTGTGATAGCTTTCCAAAATAATTTTCACCAAAAAAATTTTAAACATAAATTTAACAGAATCATGCCAAAAAAGATTGAAAAAATATAAAACTCATGAAGCAAAAAATGTATGTAATTTTACATGTGCTCCAGAAAGATGAAATTTTAAGATCTCTGAAGAAACATTGGAATTGATTGAAAGCGACCCAAAATAAATTCAGTTCAAGTCTGTAAGAGAACAAATCAATTCCAGATGGATTAATAAACTGGAAGTTCCAAAAAAAAGAACGAGAAAAAAGTAGACAGATATTACAAGTCATAATTGTGTCTATACACCGAAAAGTGTCTTTACTGAGGAATATATCCATGATATTGACTATATTTAAGACAGCACATTCCTGCTTTTATCCCGATGGAAAAGTATACACGTACTAAAAGGAAGTAAACGTAACCCAAAAACAATCTTAAAACTGGAACTCGATTTCACTTCCAATTCGAAAGGCTTTAACAAATCAGCCACGTCACACTGGACCAATATTAACTTTGTATCAAGTCATCGAAAGCAGACATTTATAAACACATAGCTGTGTTGTCATCGTGTGGCATGTACCTTGGGAATTCTAGCTCGAACGAACGAAAGTAAAAATCAAATGAAAAAATAACGGTCCCAAAGGCAAGGTGAAAATCCCATATGATGGGACAAAGTCCCTTGGGTAAATGAGCGTAACGGATTCTGTAATAGGACCCATTACTTATTCATCAGGTAGTGCAGACTGGCCCACTTACCCACTAACGTAGAACGCTATTGGTTCATTGCCAGTCTCGTTGACTGCTATGCTGGTGAGATGAAACACCCTCTGGGTCACAAACGTGCCTCTTTGCCTGAGAGAAACGAGAAAGAAGAGATGCCAGTTGAAAGGGATCAAAGGAAGATGCAAAATCTCACCAAGAAGCGGCTCTTTCTCTCTCGTTCTCTCCCTCCGCTTAACTTTCTCCATGACAAGTACCGTTCGTCTGCCATCTGTGTTGCCGTTGCCATTGCCACCAATGCACGATCTCCAGACCAATCGGGAATATTATGGCGGTCATGACCTTCGAAACCGAGGCCTTTGGATTTCATTAACCCTTTCCATCCATCTACTTCAAATGAAAACGATCTATTTATTTATGGACATTGTCATTTTTCTTCAATTATAAAACTCGTTTCTTCTTTCATGAAAAATCAGTTTCCTTTCATAAATGCAATGAAAAATCAGCTTCTTTTTCTTTTTTAAAAGAAAACAATTCATTTCTTCCGCACTGAAGGAAATAATCCCGAGTATTTTATTCTGGTGGCACCAATTATACTTTAATAATACAACTTTGATGTTTTTCAAAAATTATTATTCCATAAAAATAATTAGAATTTTCAATTTGAAGAATTTCATAAATATAATTATTTTTTAAACGCATTTTCATTTTATGAATTATCCTTTAACAGAATCTAATTTTATCCAAATTTTTATTTAACAAAATTTTTATTTATTTATTTTTATTTAAAACCAGCGTCCAAATCTTTTTGACGATTATTTGTTTGGACATTTGCAAATTCGGATAAATTAAAATTAGGCGTTTGAAGAATTCTATCAAATAACGATTAGCACAAATAATTTGGACTAATTAAGATTCAGTGAATTGGAAATTGAAGCATTTAAAAATTCGAAGCACTTAAAATTCTATTAAATGAGAATTCGGATATACTTTCGAAGTAGGGGTACCTCCAATTTTTATAAAACTTGGTATATTAACGTATTTTGGTGCGCTGATTACAAAAATGATAGTGAAAATTGGCGCAAATTTGATTATCATGGTAAAAATCATAAAAAACCCCATGAAATCATGGTTTTTTGCGATTAACTCGTACAAAACGCAAAATTTCGAAAAATCCAATATACATGTATAAAAGAACATAGAAGAACATAGTTATACAAGTAGGTTTATGAACAAATCTTAAAACATCTTCCGAAGTTGTAAAGTTGAATAAGTAAAAAATTTATTTTAAAGTGAACATTTTCAAACGGAAATTTGAAAAACTGTCTTAATTTACTGAGAAATATGTTCTAACATTGATAGGAGTGACAGCAAAATATTGAAATTGATGTAAAATTATGAAAAAAGTTTATCCAATGAGACTGAACAAAAGTAAATTCGTACTTTCACTCATTTATAATGATTACTTTGCACAGTCTTTTTGTAATAGCAACCTTGCGCATTTTTTAAAAGACAATCATTCAGACGCCAGTTTTTTTCACCTTATCAATTAATTATTAAAATTTACATTTTTCATTAAATTTTTTTTTTAATATATATTTAAACTAATTCAAAAACAAAAAGTGAAACATTATAAAATAACTTTTTTTAAAAAGGTATTATTTAAAATTTTTGTAGTATAAATATTTAATATTTACATAATAACAATATATTTTATTTATTCAAACTTACTAAAAGTAATTCGGTACGTAGAAACAATTAAATTATTAAAGAAATTTTCTTAAATGGAATAACATTAAAAAATTTTAATTTAAACAAAACTATTAATAAATTATCTAAAATTTTCTAATTATTACTTAAATTATTATTTATTATCTCAGTAAATTTATTAAATTTTATTTTTTTAAATTCATTTTGCTTAGTATTGAAAATATTTAATTTTAGAGTTTTAACAGGGTTGCTACGCACAGTGGCCGATTTCCCGAAAAACCTGGCCAAAAGTCAAAAATTTTTTTTTAGAAATTTATACTTTTTATTGTTGAATATTATAAAGGAGGGT